GCCAGGCTCCACGAAAAGGACCACCACCACTGCTTTGTTTCTGCGGGCGGGAAGGCGGCAACAAAAGAAAAGTAGTGGCTGATTCTCCCGGCTGGATGTCTCAATTTGCGGCAGGCCCGCAGAGGCCTCTGGGAGCCCTTCCCAGCGGCCTCCGCGGACCTTCTGCACGGAGGAGGAGGGGGAGGAGGAGGAGGAGGAGGATGAGGAGGAGGAGGAGGAGGAGGAGGAGGAGGAGGAGGAGGAGGAGGAGGAGGAGGGAGGAGGGAGGGGGAAGGAGGAGGGCGGAGGGAGGAGGAGGGAGGAGGTCAGCGAATCAGCTCCAGCGGCTGACTCTCCCGGCGCCCCGCGGCGCCGGGAGGCGCCAGCGTCTCGAGGGAGGCGCCCAGCGGCGGGGCCGAGAGCAGCCGCCTGCCGCAGATGTCGGCGCCCCCATTCTCCCCCGCCTCCCCTCCTGCCCCCTCCTTCCTGCTCTCCTCCTCCTCCTCATCCTCCTGCTCCTCCTCCTCATCCTGCTCCTCCTCTCCTCCTCCTCCTCCTCCTCCTCCTCCTCCTCTCCCTCCTCTCCTCCCCTCCTCCTCCTCCTCCCCTCCTCCTCCTCCTCCTCTCCTCCTCCCTCCTCCTCCTCCTCCTCCTCCTCCTCCCCTCCTCTCCTCCTCCTCCTCCTCCTCCCCCCCGCCTGCCCTTACGCATCGTTCGACCGATCCCGATCCCCACGGGCGTGGCCTGGGCCCCACTGCTCGGTTTACCCCCAAGATGGGGATATATGGAGGAATGAAGAAACGCCCCTACCATGGGTTATAAGTGCGTGGTCTGTAAGCCTCCCAAGGGCTCCCAAAGGCCAGAAAGCCGTCAGGACGCCGGGCGACACGCGCGGCACGCAGGGTTTCTCCTGTCAGCCCACAGGAGGCTCAGCGCACAGCGCCTCGTAAACCAGGGTAGGGGCGTTTCTTGCGCCCTTGTATATAGGCGGTTCTCTTCGGGCTTCGAGGGGCATATCCCCAACTGGGGTGGGGGGATGGTGGGGATCTGGACGGGGACGGAGAAGGGGATAGGGATCGGTTCCACGATGCTGAGCCCTGTCCCCCTCTGAGGAACCTCGGACGGGGAACGAAGCCACGCTTTGGGGCACCAGCTGCGCCGAGATGCACGAGGAGCGCCAGAGGACGGCCCCTGGAAGGACCCGAGAGGCCTCGGGCCTCTTCCGAACAAAAATGCTGTGCACAGCCTCCGCACAAATGGACTGCAGCCAGCAGAAGCCCGCAGCGGCGGGGAGGGCACTCAGCAGCAAGGGGTCGATGGTCATGAGGAACCTTGGAGGCATTCCCGCCCTGCCTGACCGCGCCCCCAAAATCCTTCTGTGGTTCGTTGGAGGTGCGGCGTAGATACGCGCACCCCGACGCCACAGCAATATTGATTGAAAGGCCTGGAAAACGATCGGGTGATAATGAAAACAGTGCACGTTTGTATGTATGTCTATGTATACACATATATAAATATATGTATATATGTTGCCAAGGCGGGCTTGCATGAGACATAATGGATTGACGAGGCGCCGCGAAGGGTCCACTTGACGGCCCCATCAAGGCCCAGACATGGCCTCGATGCTGAAGGACTTCCTGCAGATCACCGATTCACGAGTCTTGGCCCGATCCCAGGGGTCGACAACAGCTTGGCAAGAAGAGCCAGCCAAGCCAGAAGCTTGATCCGGCTGCGATCCCAACGCATCAGCTGGTCGCCGATCCACAGGCAGCGGTCTTAGGCCCACCACTGAACACCCTAAAATACAGCCTCGATTCCTTGCAGGAGAGTACGCTCTTCTCTGGAAATCACGCCCACTTTTCGGTGTCTTGAAATGACAGATCGCAGGGCCCACTACTGCCTTGCATGTTTGTGGACCTGGAACTCTTCTCTGAGTTCGCGCAAGCAAAGGACAGGAACGCGGCGTGCGAATACCCTTCTATGCTCACACGTTTCGATGTGCCCGCGTATTCAGGACATCTAAGCGCTGGGCAGGAAGAGCCAGCCGTGCAGCAGAGAGGTCAAGAAACGCCAATATTGCGTGCGCCTGCCGTCCCTTCCCGCACTCAATACCTCCCCCGCTGCATGTGAGGGTCGGGTAGTACGTGGCTGACGAAGAACAAGGCACCGCTCCGACTGCCAGAGATGTACCACACAGGTCATCCTCCCGCTGTTGAACGATTACAGAGTCAACGGCACTGCAATCATTGGTATCACCAGCTAGGCGGCCGAGCTCCTCTCCAAGCGGCGCGAGCGACACTTCTTGGAGCATGCAATAGCATGCCTTCATGCACTCGAAGTGCTGCGCAACGCATGCTCCCACCTGAACAGATCGCAGCACTCGCACACAAAGTCCACGTTCACGATTCATGTCGCATTGAAATAAACTATGTCCCCGTGCCCCCAAGACCCCGAGTGAAGACCCTGGGCTCCATCGTCAAACACTTGCCGCCCAACCACCAAAACGCAGATCAGCCCCCTCCATACTTGATGCGAATCCTCCTGCCACCCAAAAAACCTCGCAGGGCACGCCACAAGGACCAAAAACCGCCCCGAGCCGCCCAGAAAGCACACAGAGAACCTCGCTCCTCGACCGCCGACGACGACGACGGCGAGCGTTGCATATGACTCTTGCAGACGACCGCAGGACCCACCAGCAAGCAAGCCGAGTCGTGCGACTCTCTGTCGTGCCTCGAGACCAGGAGCCACTCCTGAACTCCAAGCGACAGCGTCCAGACTGCAGGGGACGATGACTGCATGGGAAACGAAGCATGGCATGAACATAAAAACTCGGAGGTCCGCGCGGATTTCTCGGATCCGCGCTGGACCCCCCTGGCAGCGCCTCCAGCGCCGCGCCGCCACTGGCACGCTCCGCGCACCAGGGAGGGGGATCCAGCGCCGATCCGAGAAATCCGCGCGGACCTCCTGGTTTTTATGTTTATGCCATTCTTCGTTCCCCTATGTTTGAGCAGAAACCAATGCGTGGCGACATTTCGAGACCGCCTTGGGGATCTCTTGGGGCTGTCGTGGAGCCCTGGCGCGCTCCTGAGCCGTCCCTGGGGCCCCCTTCGGCAGTTTGGATAGGCCCTCTGGGACAGTCTCGGGGCTAGTTGGGACTCGTCTGCAGCCCGTTTGGGCCGTCTTCGGGCGATCGTGGGCCGTCATGAACGCACTCAAAACTGAAAGAGGGACAACATCTTGATACAACACGCTCAAAAGCCGAAGGATGTCAATGATCTTGGCAGCGCAGGAGCATCCTGGGAACTCCCTGGAACCGCTCTTGGGCTGTGTTCGAGGCTTCTGTGTCAGCCTTGGAGCCTTGTTGGGTCGTCTTGAGGTCCACTCGGGCGGTCTTCGGGGCATCTGGTGAGCGTTTTTGATTCGGCGTTTCAGCATTGTCGGAAAGGTTTCGAGTGGTTTGGGGGGGGTGTCTGTGTTGTTTTCTGGTGGTGAGGGGGTGGTTGGTTGTTCTGGGGGAGGCCTGGTTTTTTTTTTTTTTGCGGGGGCGGGGGGGGGGTCGGCTCGGACCTCTGCGCAGGCGGACTGTTGAAGCAGCGCGCGATTACTGTTGTCGAAAACAGGCGCAAAAAAAGCACGTTTTTTTTCTCCTTCGAAAGACTAGACCTATGGGGGGGGGGAGGGGGTGCGAAGGCCGGCGCCGATCGGCAAGACAATGCACAAGCAAACGCCAACCTGGGGCAGCATCGGCAGCCTCCTGGGCAGCCTCGGGGAGCCCCTCTGCCGCCCTCGGGCGCGATCCCCGGTGCCCCGGGCAGCGCCACCGGCCCCCGGGGGGCCCCCGCGTCGCTGTCGGGGCCCCGCCGGAGGGGGAGTGCCTGGCCGAGGTCCCTCCTCCTCCTCCTCGTCCTCGTCCTCCTCGTCCTCCTACTCCTCCTCCTCCTCCTCCTCCTCCTCCTCCTCCTCCTCCTCCTCCTCCTCCTCCTCCCTCCTCCTCCTTCCTCCTCCTCCTCCTCCTCCTCTCCTCCTCCTCCTCCTCCTCCTACTCCCCTCTCCCTCCTCCCTCCTCATCCTCCTCCTCCTCCTCCTCCTCCTCCCTCCTCCTCCTCCGCCTCCTCTCCTCCTCCGCCTCCGCCTCCGCCTCCGCCTCCGCCTCCTCCTCTCGCCTCGCCTCCTCCTCCGCACTCCTCCTCTCTCCTCCTCCTCCTCCTCGTCCTCCTCCTCCTCCGCCTCCTCCTCCTCCGCCTCCTCCTCCTCACATGTAGATCCAAGGCCACGCTCACGGCGATGTTGCTCAACGGTAATGTTGGAAGCCGAACTGTGGGAAGTCACGAAACACACTTTCCTACATACTTCCGATCTGCGGATGCATCGGACGAAAACGACACAGCGAATTGCAGGAAAGCACGAGCCGCGCGTTCCCACAATACCGAAACCGACATCGCCGTTACCTGCATCGCCGCTAGCGCATCTACGGTAGATGCGGGCCGAACGGTGTCGCGGGCCCATGGGCTCCCCGTCTGATCGGCTACGGGGTACAGCTCGGACCTGGACGACGTGCAACTGCGGTGGCGCACGCTCTCGGATGTGCGGAGACGTGCAGATCGTAACAGTGTTCGCGCCGTGCAACATCTGATCCACGCAGCTCAGCGGTGGTAACGGTAGATGCATTGCGTGCGCGCGTACACGCGAGTGTCCACAGTTGCCGTTTCGGTCCTTCGTGTGCGAAGAGGGGCCTGTTTGACTTACTGCTGATGACTACCTCCACTTATATCACATCGCGTCTCATATTGTATTGCGGTGGCGGTCGCAATGTACTAGACCTGGCGGCCACACACACACACACACAGACGCCTGCAATGTTATGTTTCTATTCGTGATCAGCGACGGCGAAGCTAACAGCGCCTGTGCTCACCAATGCCAGCAACAGGAAAATAGATGATGACGGTGACGATCATGGTGACGTGTCCTGGCGACGACGGGCGATGATCACTGATGGTACCTGCAAGGTGTGATGACTTCATTTCTGACGATCCCATCTCGACGTCGCTAGCGGCTGATGGTGTGGCCTCGCGAAGCGTGGCACGTGCGGCTGGCTGACGGAGGTCTCACATCTTCCCAGGCATCTTGGGGCCCTTGCTCTTGTTCTGGGCGCCGCCCTTCATGTCCTTGGCCTTGGGTGCTTTGTTGTCAGCTTTCCCCTTCGCCGCGGCCGCCTTCGGCTTGCTCGCCTTCGTTGTCTGGCGTGCCTTAGCCTCTTTCGCCGCTTGCTCTTTCGCCTGCTGTCGCAGTTCGGGCTTCTGCGCCTTCTTCTTCTTGATGTCGTCGAGGGACATGCCGACGATTGCTTTCTGGAACTTCTGTGCCTTGCGGGTGCGCTTCTTCTGGTTCTCGTCGACCTTGCCCTTCTTGTTCATGCGCCGCCAGGCCTGTGTCCAACGCAACCGCACCGGCTTGATCCTCTGGTGATGCAGGGAAGCGACCTTAGAGTTAATGAAAAAATGCACCTTGCCATCTCTCGCCACGAACCGCTTGCCGCCTCCTGGGTAGATGCGGTACTCTGTGTATGCGCACAGGTCCGTCTTGATGACCATTGCCGCAAACCAGCCTCCCTCTGCGGAACAGCAATTGGGCGACGGAAGATGACGGGGCTCCTGAGCCAACTCTGGCGGCTGTTTGGGTGAAGTGGGAAATAAGTTTTCCTCAGAATGGCTTGAAGGGGCCCTGGGACACACAAATAGATACACACAAAAATAACAGGATCCTCCATAGTTTCCCATATCTTCTGTGTTCTTGTCTTCCCCCCCACTTCCCATAGTTTCCTGTAGTTTCCTGGGGGTCGACGAGGAATTGTGTCTGCGTGTTTTTGTTTCCGCACGATGGCTGCGACCTCGACCCGTGGCGATCGGTAGATCTGCCCAGAGATGGAGAGCGGGGCGAGGACGGTCGTGACGACGACGCTGACGACGCTGATGCCGCTGGCGGCGGCGATGCTCGGGCACGCCTTGGAGGGCGTGCCCGCCCGTCCCCCCCGAGAGGGAAGGGGGGCCGAGGTGCCCTGCCCCCTCTCCCGCCTGTCCGCCGCCGGGGACCGTACCCTCGGGGGGCAGCCAAGAGGGGGGGCGTCCAAGAGGGGGGGGAGGAGGAGGAGGAGGAGGAGGAGGAGGAGGAGGAGGAGGAGGAGGAGGAGGAGGAGGAGGAGGAGGAGGAGGAGGAGGAGCGGAGGAGGAGGACGAGGAGGAGGGGAGGAGGGAGGAGGAGGGAGGAGCGAGGAGGAAGGAAGAGAGGGGCGCCAGTCGTGTCCGGCGGCACGTGCGCGACCCCGGGAAGGGGGGAGAGGCCAGGCAGACGGGGAAGCGTCGAGACGGGCAGAGACGCCAGGAGACATCCGGGGAGAGACCGTGGCCCCGCCGCGATCTCTCACTCCCCCCCCCCCCCACACAATCGTCGGGCCCCCTCCCTGCCGGCCGCCACCGAGCCCCTCCCTCCCCCCCCCTGCCGAATCCGTCTCGTGCAGGACCCACTTCCCCTGCTCAGGGGGGGGGGGGGGCGATCGCCCCCCCCCCCCTTTACCTCCCCCTTCTCGGGCCAGAGGTCCGGCCGCCCTATCCCACTCGGGCCGAGGGGTGAGCCTCTGCCTCCCGCCGTGCTCCCCCCTGCCGGGGTCAGTGGATCCCCCTCCTCTGCCTCCCTCTCCTCCTCCTGCTTCTCCTCCACATCCTCCTCCCCCTGCATCATCACCCTAGCCTCCACCTCCCACTCGTCCTCCTCCCCCTGCTCCCCCCCCCTCGTTTTCATCTTCGTTGTTCTCAGGGTCGGCGGCACCGGCCGCACGGCCTTCGCAATCCCCTCCCTCCCGCCATTCATCTCGAAACTGTGACCCCGATACCCGAAACCGAACCTAAACACCTAACCTTGGCACCCGAACCGTTACCCTGAGCACTAAACCTGGCCCTAACGCCCTGAACCCGAACCCTAACACCCGAAATCTAAACAGTAAGCACTGTCCCTAACCATGGACCGAATCCTCAGACCTAACACACTAAACCATAGCACCCTAAGCCTAGCACCCTAACCCCCCGAACTCTGAGAATAGGTATGAAAACCTCACACCCTAAACCCTAACACCCTAACACCCTAACACCCTAACCCCAACGCCCTAAGCGTAGCCCCAACTGAACCGAACCCAAATCCCTGGCCATAGCCCCTAAAAACCTCAGCCCGAACCATAAACACTGCTCTGAGCCATGGACCTGGCCCTAACGCAAAACCCCAACTCCCGAACCATAAGCCTAAGCACTGGCCCTGACCCTAGACCCCCAATCCCTCACACAACATCGCCGCAACACCCGAACCTTGAGCACCGACCCAACCCTAGGAGGAGGAGGAGGAGGAGGAGGAGGAGGAGGAGGAGGAGGAGGAGGAGGAGGAGGAGGAGGAGGAGGAGGAGAGGGAGGAGGAGAGGGAGGAGGCAGGGGGAGGACGGGAGGAGGGAGGCCGGGAGGAGGAGGAGGGGAGGGGAGGGGGAGGGAGGGGGACGAGGAGGGAGGAGGGAGGAGGGAGGACCTCCCTACACGCCCTGGAGCGCGCCTTGGAGCGCCCCCTCCGCCGCCAAAAAAGGGAGGAGGGGAGGACCTCCCCCCCCTCGCTGGCGAGAAGGGCGAGGAGACTCCCGTCGGAACGGGGGCGGAGGGGGAGGGAAAGAGAACAGATCACCTTGGAGGGGGGAGAGGGGGGATGGTCCACGAGCTCAGCATACAAACACACACACACACACACGATTTGGCCTCGTCGGCGGCGAGGCGGGAAAAGCCGCCCCAGCGTGGCAGCGATGCAGGGGCACTACACAAAACGAAGCGGCCGGCATGCAGGAGGAGGGGGAAGGAAAAAGCGGCCGCGGGGGGGGAAGGGCGAGCACTCAGAGGCGGAAGACTTTCGCCATGAGCAGCCGGAGCGGCCCGCACAAACACATACATATAAATATATATATATATATATATCTGTATAGCCCTGTGCACCCACCAAGAACCCCCCCTTTCTCATGATTATATATGATTTTAAATATGATTCCAACGATTTTCGGACTCACTTTTGAGGCTCTTTGTTGAACAACTTTTTGGGCTCCCTTCTACTCAACTCCCTCCGTCTCCAACACAACACCCATTACTCAACAGCCTCCTTCTCCAACACAACACCCGATACTCAACAGGCTCCCTCCCCAAGCTGAACTTGAAAAGAACCTTCTACTCAACTCCCTCCGTCTCCAACACAACACCCAGTACTCAACAGCCTCCTTCCCCAACACAACACCCGATACTCAACAGGCTCCCTCCCCAAGCTGAACTTGAAAAGAACCTTCTACTCAACTCCCTCCGTCTCCAACACAACACCCAGTACTCAACAGCCTCCTTCTCCAACACAACACCCGATACTCAACAGGCTCCCTCCCCAAGCTGAACTTGAAAAGAACCTTCTACTCAACTCCCTCCGTCTCCAACACAACACCCAGTACTCAACAGCCTCCTTCTCCAGCACAACACCCGATACTCAACAGGCTCCCTCCCCAAGCTGAACTTGAAAATAACCTTCTACTAAACTCCCTCCGTCTCCAACACAGCACCCAGTACTCAACAGCCTCCTTCTCCAACACAACACCCGATACTCAACAGGCGCCCTCCGTCTCCAACACACACACACACATGTACTCCAAATCCTACCACCACAACACGACGCGACACCCGAAACTCCAACCGCACCCGCCCCCCTTTTTTCTTGGCATCTTCCAAGAGAAAAAGGGGGGTTCATGGTGGGTGCACCGGCCTATATATATATATATATATACATATATATATACATACATACATACAAACAAACAAACATACAAACATACATACATGCACACATACATACATACATACATGCATCCATACATGCATACATACATAGGCCTCCGCACCCCACATGAATCCCCCTTTTCTCTTGGAAGATGCCAAGAGAAAAGGGAGGCGGAAGCGCGTTGAGTGTCGGTTCTCGTGTTGTGTTGTGTTGTGTTGGTTGGAGCCAAAGCGTTGTGTTGTGTATCGGGGTGTTGTGTATCGGTTGCAGTGTTGGAGACGGAGGGAGTTGAGTAGAAGGTTATTTTCAAGTTCGTCTTGGGGAGGGAGCCTGTCGAGTATCGGGTGTTGCGTTGGAGAAGGAGGCTGTTGAGTACTGGGTGCTGCGTTGGAGACGAAGGGAGTTGAGTAGAAAGTTATTTTCAAGTTCATATTGGGGAGGGAGCCTGTTGAGTATCGGGTGTTGCGTTGGAGAAGGAGGCTGTTGAGTACTGGGTGGTGTGTTGGAGACGGAGGGAGTTGAGTAGAAGGTTAGTTTCAAGTTGATCTTGGGGAGGGAGCCTGTCGAGTATCGGGTGTTCCGTTGGAGAAGGAGGCTGCTGAGTACTGGGTGCTGTGTTGGAGACGGAGGGAGTTGAGTAGAAGGTTAGTTTCAAGTTCATCTTGGGGAGGGAGCCTGTTGAGTATCGGTTGTTGCGTTGGAGAAGGAGGCTGTTGAATACTGGGTGCGGTGTTGGAGACGGAGGGAGTTGAGCAAAATGTTATTTCCAAGTCCATCTTGGGGAGGGAGCCTGTGGAGTATCGGGTGTTGCGTTGCAGCAGGAGGCTGTTGAGTACTGGGTGCTGTGTTGGAGACGGAAGGAGTTGAGTAGAAGGTTATGTTCAAGTTCAGTTTGGGGAGGGAGCCTGTCGAGTATCGGTTGTTGCGTTGGAGAAGGAGGTTGGTGAGTACTGGGTGCTGTGTTGGAGACGGAGGGAGTTGAGTAGAAGGTTATTTTCAAGTTCATCTTTGGGAGGGAGCCTGTTGAGTATGGGGTGTTGTGTTGGAGAAGGAGGCTGCTGAGTACTGGGTGCTGTGTTGGAGACGGAGGGAGTTGAGTAGAAGGTTAGTTTCAAGTTAATATTGGGGGGGAGCCTGTTGAGTATCGGTTGTTGCGTTGGAGAAGGAGGCTGTTGAGTACTGGGTGCTGTGTTGGAGACGGAGGGAGTTGAGCAAAATGTTATTGTCAAGTTCATCTTGGGGAGGGAGCCTGTTGAGTATCGGGTGTTGCGATGGAGAAGGAGGTTGTTGAGTACTGGGTGCTGTGTTGGAGACGGAGGGAGTTGAGTAGAAGGTTACTTTCAAGTTCATCTTGGGGAGGGAGCCTGTTGGGCATCGGGATCGTGAATTGCGGGATAGAGTATCTGTGGTTGGTGGAAACGGGTGCACTTGCAGGGGGTGAACATCGCTCCGAACTTGGGCCCAACAAGTCTTCCAACAAAGAGCCTCAGAATTGAGTCCGCGAATCGTGGGAATCATATATATATATATAAATTCACAAGGAATCAGGAGAAAGGGGGATTATTGTGGGGTTCGGAGAGCTACATACATACATACATACATACATACATACATACATACATACATACATACATACCTGCATACCTACATACCTACATACCTACATACCTACATACCTACATACATACATGCCTACATACCTACATACCTACATACCTATACATACATACATACATACCGGCCTACCTACCTACCTACCTACATACATACATACATTACATTACATTAATGCATACATACATACATGCATACATGCATGCATGCATACATGCATGCATG